AATGACTCGCTTTCTTTCGTTCAAAAGATGTTACCGTAATCGCTTTTCGAATGGTTTTCAGTTAAAAAACTGTTGTATTACAATAATATTCTATCCTAATTCACTTGTGATGCAACAGTTTTTTTAACTGAAAACCATTTGAAAAACGATTACGGTAACATCTTTTGAATGAAAGAAAGCGAAAGTCATTGTTTTCGTCACTTTCCACTGTAATACGTACGTCATTTCAGCAAAAATATTACATTTCCGTGAATGTAGTATATCAAGCACAGTATGAGTATAATATCATTGTAATATAACAGTATTTTAACCGAAAACTATTAAAAAAACGAGTAACATCTCTTGAACATTGGAAGGTTGGGTAAAGTCTTTTGTTTTCGTCATGTATTTTATCCTATTTTACATTGAAATACATCACATTTCAGCAAAACTACTATTTATTTCTGAGAATATATTCATTCAGGCACAGTTTAGGTAAAATATACATGTGCTGTAACATTTTCTTAATTGAAAACGATTCGAAAAACACGTACCCTCTTGCCCTGTTCAAGGAGAAGACTGGGAGGAGCTGTTTGGTGCTTAAGACAATGACAAGGAAAATGATTTTGATGGATTTTAATGAAAATATTCAGAAAGACCCTGGCACTGTCAAGGAAAGTGGCTGCTGAAGGCTTCCGGGACATGGCAGAGGACGAGATTAGGGAGCTAATTGAAGAGCACGACACTGACCTGACTGAGGAGGATCTACAGGAGTTAGTAGACTCAGGCAAGGAAGAGGAAGCGAAAGGGAAAGAGGATGAGGAAGAGCACCAAGAAATAACGTTGGGGGACATGACCAGGAATATTGAGGCACTGACAATATATAATGCAGTGCAGTGTTGATTTAAAGAAAATAATCTTGAATTACACCAGAGAGCTAAAATTTTATGGGTGAAATGGCGCCATGGGGTGACTTCTCTTCCACCCCAATGCCTTCTCTCCTTCCTTCTCCTCCACCCCCATTCTAAATCCCATCATCATCATCATCATCCAGGAGCCTTCTACATACACACCTCAAAGTAAGTGAACTTTTCTACCATTTTTGTTGAATTTAGGAAATTTTTGGTGAGCTGGAACCAATTACCCAAAAACCCATTGAAACAATGGTTTCGGTTAACGAACGACCTTCTGGAACGGATTGAGTTCGTTAACGGAGGGGTCACTGTATATATATATATATATATATATATATATATATATATATATATATATATATATATATATATATATATATATATATATATATATATATATATATATATATATGTATATGTGTATGTGTATGTGTATGTATATGTATATGTATATGTATATGTATATGTATATGTATATGTATATGTATATGTATATGTATATGTGTATGTATGTATGTATGTATGTATGTATGTATGTATGTATATATATATATATATATATATATAATAGTATTCTCCTCGGTTAACGAACTCAATCCGTTCCAGAAGGTCGTTCGTTAACCGAAAAGTTCGTTAACCAAAACCATTGTTTCAATGGGTTTTTGGGTAATTGGTTCCAGCTCACCGAAAATTTCCTAAATTCAACAAAAATGGTAGAAAAGTTCACTTACTTTGAGGTGTGTATGTAGAAGGCTCCTGGATGATGATGATGATGATGGGATTTAGAATGGGGGTGGAGGAGAAAGAAGAAGAGAAGGCATTGGGGTGGAAGAGAAGTCACCCCATGGTGCCATTTCACCCATAAAATTTTAGCTCTCTGGTTTAATTCAAGATTATTTTCTTTAAATCAACGCTGCACTGCATTATATATTGTCAATATATAAAATATATTTCAAAATGACCAATAATTTGCTTGGAAACACAGAAAAAAAGCGTTTAGTTGAAGAGAGTCTCAAGCAAGATGTTACCTCCACTGAAAACAGAGAGAGACTGACGCCTGTTTGCTGTGTTAAGAGGCTGGATGTCGCGCATTAAACTTGTCACTTTACCTTCAATTTTGTTCAATAATTGTTAAAATGACTAAAAAATTGAATATTAAACTTTTAAAATTATTGAATAGTATAAACTTCTTGATATTTACAAAAATAGTAAGGAATTTAAGCCCTAGAACCGATTAATGTATTGGCGGACTGATACTAAAGCTGGTTGCCCGGTCAGTGCAAGCGAAAACATGTTGAGGTCGGTTCGTAAGAACTTCGTTAACCGAATTTTTTTTCGTTAACCGAATTGAAGATCCTTATGGAAAGCAGTTCGTTAATCGAAATTACATTAACCGAGGTGTTCGTTAAACGAGGGGTCACTGTATATATATATATATATATATATATATATATATATATATATATATATATATATATATATATATATATATATATATATATATATATATATATATATATATATATATATATATATATATATATATATATATATATATATATATATATATATATATATATATATATATATATATATATAGCAGCGATAATCAATATGAAAGAAGAAATAGCTGCACTCACATCTTCAGTGAGTACAGCTAGTCTGTACTCACCCCTGAAGATGTGAATTACACGTAAAGCTAGAACTTCGTGTTTTCTTCTTCCTTGTGGTTATCAAAGCATATACCTAGATCACGCCACCTACAGTGATTTACTTGCATATATATATATATATATATATATATATATATATATATATATATATATATATATATATATATATATATATATATATATATATATATATATATATATATATATATATATATATATATATATATATATATATATATATATATATATATATATATATATATATATATATATATATACTAACTTTAGTCTGAGATATTATATAAAATAAACACCGTAAAGCATAAAATTATCACCAATCTTTTGTCTGGGAACACAAGGAGGGAGGTAGCCAGCGAGTGTGGGAAGAGGAGGGGGGCCGGAGGTGAAGTGACAGAGTGTCTGGTGTTTGTTTATTTATTTGAGGTAAGATTTGACAGTTGGCGCTGAAGGCCTGCGTGTTTATTTATCATTATTTAAGAGTGACTAAGCTCTTCTCATAATATGCCACCCAAACGACCTGGGTGAATATAACTTACATTGCTGGGATTCTTGTAAGATAGTAATTTATTTGAATACCTGTATAAACAATTTATATTTGCAATAGACATAACAATTTAAGTACCGTAATCATTTAGTACATGTACAGTACAGGTTTGCACTTAGGTCCATTGTTAACCGAGGGACAACTGTATTGCAGTGTACTTGTACTGTACAATATTGACTAAATTCACTAGATAATGCACACAACTAATGGTTGGTAAAACTTGTCAAGTAAGTGAGTGTCAAGTCTGTCAGTGTGAGTGGCACGTGTGAGTGCTTGTGTCCCCCATCATAGGAGTCCGTTTTCTCTCACTTCAAGATGCCTGAGTCCGTTTTCTCTTAATCTTAGAGTGCAGTGCCCCAGAGACTTCGTTATTCCTTAGTAATGACACAGAATTTGAAATTGCAACCCCAATTGCAACTGGGGTTGCAATTGTTGAGGCAACTAGATATGTCTGATTGCAGCAAATGTGTTATTGTCAATTTGTAGGTGAAAGATTTTATCCTCAATAGATGTAGGTTAACATTACACCTGGAGGCAAATGTTTAAAAATAGCCTAAGATAGGATATTCCTTTAACACATAATATCTGGCCAGTATGGGAAGGATCATCGTGTCTCCGTCAGGGTGTCATGGAGTGGTGGTCCAGCAGGCGTCTAGGAAGTGTTTTTTTGGGGGGAGGGGTGGGGGGCACGGACATATATGCGATCGGACGTTGTTCGGCTGAACGTTAACTGGCGCATGACTGTATACTGTATATCAGTAAACACTAATAATAACAGTAAATCCAGTGAAATATGACAGGGAGGGAGGAGAGTTACAGCTGTAGATGAGGCTCTAACTAGCAGTCTCTCACTCACTCCCAGGTTCCCGTTGCCAGGCATATGATCAAAATACAGTATGTGCTGGAGAAATACATATCTTGTAGTCTAATTTGAAAACATTGATGGGCTCATTGATAAACAAATTATATAAATAATGTATTTACCAATGATAACATAATAAACTTTGTATCACTACTAGAGTGAATTAAATGATATCCCACATACAACAAATAATAACTCTCAGGCACCTGTGTCCCACGTTGTGACACTTTGGTCCCTTGAAATTTTGGCTCAAAGTGGACATGTCATCTGAGGACAAATTTTGTCCTACTTTTTTTTTTTTAATCTTGCATTATTTTAATTTTTCAGTTATTTTTTGGCAAATAATTTTGTCCAGCCTGTGCCATAGCACTAAGCATTGTCATAAAGAGGTCCAGTAAGCCTGGGCTAGATTTATGCTGATGTAAGTTGTATTGGTACCAGTAATAGTACATTTTATGCATTATTTTGCCTTTTTTAACCTCGGCTTTGATGGTTCGGAATTTTTGCTAATCCAGAACCAGTCTGGTCCCAAGCTTCCAAAATTAGTGAGGTCCAACCTGTAGTCCTTCCCTGTTTGACAGCTGCTTACTACCATAAATTCAGGTTTGTGTAGGATCACCTTTACTGCATGGGTGAATGTGGAATCCCTTTATCATCTTTGTGAGGCTTCAGACAGAAGAAGCCAAGAGTCATCTTCCTTCCTGTTCTTCATCAATTAGGTGCTGTAAACTTAGTGTGGGGAAGTACATCATGATCATAGTAACTTACACAAGAGGGGGGAGTAGCTTGCTTGTGGTTTTCTGTGTCTGTGTTAGGTGTGTGATCCTCGAGTCACCACTCCTCGGATTGTGTCAGTTCAAGTTTAGAAGCTCCAACAACTTTCCCTGAATACGAATTCGCAACCTTTCGATTTACAACAGGTACTTTACAAGAGACCAAATATTATTTAGACTGACCCATCATTATACAGGACTATCATGTTATTTCTTTTTCTTTTTTACTTGCAGCTCATCCTCCGCCTCCTCCAACGGAAGAGCAAGTTCAAACTTTAGTCGAGATGGGATTTGATCGCCAGAGAGTAATAAATGCACTTCAGACTTGCAATAATGATGTAAACACGGCCACACATCTTCTTCTGCAGGAATCATGATAATTGTAGTCATGTAGTCCTAACTATCAATGAGTATGTGATAGGGTCCATAATGGAGGCAAGTGTGCATTTAGGTTTGTCATAAGAAATTCCAGAGAAAACTTGGAACTGATTGACTGTAACTTTGAATATACAGAATAAAGTAGTTTTGAAATGTTTTAAATATTTAAAAGTTGATTTGTATACAGTAGAAATCAAATTATTTTGTAAGGTGGAAATATTTTCTTGAATAATCAAGATTTAAGTGGGTCACTTCCTTGTTTACTGGGCATTGCTGTTTCTGTATTTTGTAATAACCTTTGGAAGGCCAAGAAAAGTATTAATTGGTGATTTAAAGACAGATATTATAATGAAGACTACTGTGCACCTTAATCCATTTTATAAGTTATCCCATTAAAGAATGTGATGGCGATGACTGTGTTCACGTGGTAATGCTAGTCATAGCATGTGCAACAATGGCAGTTATTTTGTTAGTACTCTGCTGTAGTACCAAAATTTGTTGGACATTTGGTAATTCATACACAATTTTTATGTAGGTCATGTAATTTAGAGGGTATCTTGTTTTTATTGAAAATCTGAAGTAGAACAACCATTTATATTAGCTTCTCATCAAAAGGGTAAGTGTTCACATTTGGCTTTTTGTCAGAAGGGTAAATACTCTTCTTGGTTGCATGTCATTATGCAGTAAAGTATATTTTTTTATTTCAGTAAAAATACCATAAAGGGTATTCATTTGTGGTGTCCCAAATAGCCTTAACCTTTGATGTTACTAAGAATACAGCACTGTATCTCTCTACACAAGAGGTATTGTATTGGTCTGTTGTCTCAGTCTTTTGTTATCAGGTTTTATTTATTATGACACAGCTTGTGTTCACTACTACTGTTCTGTACAGTACAGTATAATTATAATAAATGACCATCTGGATGTTAACACTACTGTATCTTCATGTTAAAGTCACAATTAACCCCTTCATCACCATCAAGGGGTGAGAGTGCAAGTTCAGGCTAGCTAGTTTATATATATATATATATATATATATATATATATATATATATATATATATATATATATATATATATATATATATATATATATATATATATATATATATATATATATTTATATATATATATATATATATATATATATATATATATATATATATATATATATATATATATATATATATATATATATATATATATATATATATATATATATATATATATATATATATATATATATATATATATATATATATATATATATATATATATATATATTAAATCCTCTCAATAACAGAATAATTGGTGTACAACTGTACATGTGCTGTTTTAATGAATTTTATGCTTCCTCAGATACTTCCAATAACTGGAGATCTACACTAGATCTGGAAAAAGTTCTGTTTACTTGATCAACCTTGTGACACAATCTGCCACCCCCAAAATACAATACTTCAGTAAAATAATGTAGATACAGTCAGAAGCAGTAATTGTTCCCCTCAGTAGCCAAAGCCATGGCAAGTGAAGGCATGGTGATCTGACGAACCCTTCACCTCCTCCACACCCCCTCCCCCTTTCGGTCTAAACGTTACTGGGTAGTTTTTGTTAATATTGTGGCTGGTGATGTTATATTGTGTTAATATCTGCCTTCACTGACTGTGGCTCCGACTACTAGGGGGTAAGGGTAGCAATAACTGCTTCTGACTGAACAGTACCATAACACACACACACACACACACACACACACACAATAAATACTATACAGGAAAGTAAAAACAAAACGAAACAAGAATAATAAAACTTAAACAATATCAGTTATGCACCGCCATGTCCAATTTTTTGAGCTTGACAGTGTCCATTCTTCTCTGTTTCAGGGTTTCATCACCACCTGGCACTGTCCTTTTAACATGCTTTGTTAATTTTTCCTTCCTATATTTCACACCATAAATGATCAAGTAGCCCACACTGTATTCCTTCATCGGGTCCTTCACCGTGTGCACAGCCGGCTCTAGCTTCTGAGGGACCCTGCACGAGATAATGGTTTGGGGGCTCATTCCTTATACTGTATAACCCTTCCATCGTGCCTCGTCCCTCGCCCACAATCATTTCTACCGCACCACTCAATAATAATGATTAATTTCTAAATAAATATATATCTTTTCTTTATTGGTAAGTCAACCTCAATTTCATATCATATTTCATTTCCAAACATTTTAATATTTTCCATGGCAACCAACAACCTTTATTTCATACCAGCTGAGCTAACATGTAATCATGATTATGTTTACCTTTTCTGTAGAATTGATTACAATTCTTTATTAGGAATAGCCTCAATCACCCATATTTATATGAATTATTATCAATAATTATTCCAAGGAAATTATTATAGATAAAACAACTTTGTACTGTACTATTTGAGCAATTATGAAAAGTACTCAAAGGCAACAAGGCTCTTACTGTTATGTTACTCGCTCTTATTTTATTGTAATACAGTAATTAATAAAAAATAACACACCCAATTAATTGGTTATGAACGAGCAACTTCTAGTTTTACGACTGAACACACAATAACAAATACAAACATAAATATAATAATGTACATAACACTATCTTCATTCCTCATGACGACATAACATACCTGTCCTTCCTTCCCCTACGATGGTGTGAGTCTGGCAGCATCGCCAGGTTTTTATAAACAAACCATCAAATCCCAGACTTACTGGTGCCAGATGGCTGAAACACACTTGCCTGCAGTTTTGAGATGAACGCAACACATCAAAATTGAAATACGAATCCTACCAAACAACAAATACGTTGTCTTTAGGAGGGGGCCCCGTGTAGCTATACAGACGACACATAGCTGTGCCGGCCCTCAGTGTGTGTGGTACTTTTTTTTATTGAATTTTTCTCAGATTTCAAGCTTAGTGTTCCTATCAATGTATTTATTCTTTTGTTCCAATTTCTTGCCACTGTTTTGCAGCATTTAAGTGTGGTGAAACATTTATGAAGTACTCTTATGTAAAATTGATGCGGTAATACAGTTTGCTCTTCAAATTCGCAGGGGATAGATTCTCAAGATGGCCACAAATCGCCAAATTCACAAATAACATTTGCTGACCAGGGGGAGGGGGTACATGTTTACTTGTGTACAAAGAAATGTATATTCCCTTTGTGTATTTTACGGGGAATAGTCCATCTGAGCACAGGTCATCGACACACAACGTGGCCTGGGGGGCGTAAAAATAAAAATAAATTAAAGATGGAAAAGAAAAACATTACATTAATCTACACCACGAAAATGCCAGAAAACCAGCTTTTTAAAGTGAGACATTGTATAAGTATGGAAACACAGAAGAAGGCAGAGCATTCCACAGTTTGGTTGTGTGAGGAAAGAAGGATGTACTATAACGGGTTATTCTAGTGTGACCGACATCCACAGAAAAACGGTGGGCACCGCAGGCAAGACATGTGTTACGAGCCCACGGCCTTGCCGGCGGTACACAGGATGCCAAATTCACCGAACATTGCCCGTTAAAGTACCTGTAAAAAAGAGAGTGAAGCAACATTGCGGTGAAGAGAAGGGAAGAAAGATTGTCAACTAAAGGAGGAGAGTTAATAAGACAAAATGTCTTTGATTCCACCCTATCTAATAGTTGGACAGAAGAAGAGCCACCCCAGTTATGAGAGCAGTACTCCAAGTTAGGATGAATGAATCCCTTATATACTTGGAGCAACTGCTCAGAGTGAAGTAGCTGTGGCATCTGTACAGCATTCCCAACTTTTGGGAGGCCTTAAGACTATTTCTTTTACCTGATATATATGTGTGTGCGTGCGTGCGTGCAAAACACATACAAATAAATAATAATGGAAAAACCCTCTCACAAATATTTAGAAACTAATGTATTAAATATGTTGAGTCTACCCTCAAGTCCACTCCATGCTTTGTTAATAATAAAGCTCAGAGTAGACCTGAAAGTTGACTCAACATTTGTAATACATTTGTTTCTGATTGTATATATACAATACAGGTACTGTCTCTAGAACGAATAGCTCCCTGTCCCGGCTGCAAAAATGACAGCAACTTTAAAACTACCAGCAGACATTCTTGGTTACATCCAGGGTGATTATTAGGGTGGTCCCGAAAATTTTTTTTGTTTAAATTTCAACGACCACCCTGCCTAAGTGTGTGTATACTATTAAAACAATGATCTGTCATTTTTAAAAAAATTTGGATAAAATTTAGAGGTGCCACAAAGACTATCTAGTTTTTATATTGAACAAGTACCGGTAAATGTGTAAATCGTATACAATACATAGTCAATATCAATACAGTTAGTTGTTAATAGTTGTAATACAGCAAAATCAATGAAATTTAGCAACACAGGTCATTCTTCTTGAGTGCCTCTATTACAGTCCTTTTTAGAGAGTTTGGAAAGTTCTTTCGATGATCACTGACCACCTGGAGTAGAAATTGGCGTTGTTCCTCATCCTTTGTTATTACATGGATGTAATCTTGGATGAGTGCCACACCTCTCTCAGCCACATCGTTAACCACTTTCATTGTCTTGAGCTTCTTTTGTGCTTTGCAATAACCTGCATTAGTTTGCCACAAAGATGGGGACAACTGTAGAAAGTCAGTTGGCAGATTGAGCATGTCAAAAAATTGACTTGTTGCAGAAGACACAAAATCTTCAAGGTGAATGTCATTCACGTCTTGAGGCTTAACCACTGCCTTCATGCGGTTACCATTTTGAGCCTTTTTTAGACTGTCCACCATCCTCTGCTTTGTTTCATCACCAACATTCATATCAAAGAAGGCAAAGCCAACAACTTCTTCATTGAGGTACCACAGATGATTGATAAATTTGCGGCAAGCCTCTTCTGAAACCTCCTTGTCAACTTTTGTGTAGTCAGAAATCTTCTTCAGGAAGAGCAGGTCATTTGCTGGAGCTTGAACTGGCAAAGTAGCCAGGAACCATGCTTTAAAGTATACAAGGACAGCAAATCGAACCACCCTACCGAGTCCTTTGACTTCTCGGGCTGTCAACTTGAATTGTGACCGGAACATCCATATTTTGAAGGAATACAACAGCTTTGCCATCCACCTGGCTCTGTGCATGGCCCCAGGCTTCCTGAAAGATATCTTGCGGTGTGGAGTTCCTCCCAGGAATATATCAACCAATTCGAGTAATTCTCTATAGTCTTCCCGTGGCTGATTATCATTAAGGAAGCTCAATGCATTTTTCAGCAGACCTTCTCGATTTTCAGTCACAACCAAATCCATTTCTTGATCAGTGGCAGCTGTACTGTAGTCACTCTGCACAATGTTGGGCCAAAATGCTTGAAATCTCTTAAAAACAAGTATATCTGGCCCAGTTGATGGACCCATTACACGGTCAAATACTCCACCGATCACAACCTCATGCACATGATGACGGCATGGCAACCATAGGAGATTTTTCTCCAGTTTAATTTCGATGAGCTTACAGGCCCCAGTGTGGCGTCCAGTGTTGCTGCTTGTAGTGTCAAAAGACATTGCCACTATATAGTCTTTTAATTTCCAATCTTTGACCACTTCAACCACAGCATTAGCCATCGCTTCACCAGTTCCATTGGGCAACTTTGATACATTCAGCAATTGTTCATTCTCTTCATAGGACACAATGATTGGCAATCGATCATAAGTTTCTTTACCACCAGCTGTTTCAGGAAGTAGCTTTCCATCCCAATGAACAACAAGAGGGATTGTTGGATCAAGATTAAGTATAAATTGTTCTTTGGCAGACTTAAAAGACTGAACTCTCAACTTCATTCTTGATTGTCGAATTGTCTTCCGGTTGACTGCTATGTCTTCCACGTTGTGACCTAAAGTTTGAGCTGCTGCAGCAATCAAATGCACAGCATCACGATCACTAATCTTGGTGCGATCTAGTGCTTTGGCCAGAACAGGGGACATTATGTTTTTTGCACGTGGTTTCCCAGGTTTTGATTTTTTGGGAGGAGAA